GTTAAAATACAGGGTACTATGAGGGCAGCTGATTACGACACTAATGCTAACAGAGCTTCGACTGTATGACCATTATTTTGTGTAATATTATACACTCACATTTACAATCCTAAACATCGCGTGATTTTGAAGAGCCTCCAATCGGCAATCAAGCAATTCTTGAGAGACTTCATTGCACAGTGCAATGACATACTGAACTTTGACAAATTGGCCAGGAAAACGCAGCTTGGGAGAACTGAGTGAATCCCCTGGTGCTAAGCACCAGAGCTCCTGGACGTTATGTCGGCAGGTTTCAAGTATTATCAGTTTGCATGTTCCCGGCTCCAGAGAATTACAAGCAGCAATAGGCCATGATCCTAAAACAAAGTATAAAATTAAATTGCTGGTATCTGATGTAAAATATTACAACCTGTAACATCAAACAGTGGTTCAGGAGATGTAAAATTTCGGTCTAACCATAAACATACACCATCAGACGAACAAGTGAAATCTTTGACTTAAATACATGCATGTATAGTACACTGGTGTCTTACTGTAAATTCTCAATTTCACCAAGTAATGGCCTGGCAATTTTTAACAGTGTCATAATTATTTCAATAACAAAATTATTTTCAATTAATACATGTACATCACAAAAATATACAAGGACTAATTTATGCAATAAATTGGTTACGATGTACATGTAGTAAAAATTACTACCTGCAATTACATGTATAGGGTCCATTTCTATTGTTGTGCTCCTGCTGTGCCAATCCAATTGAATGGATTAAATTTGACTTTAGCACGGCAGTAGCATGGCATTTAAAAGCAAGTCATGCTTCTACTGTATAGCCTGTGCCACAGACTCTGGATAAGTCTTTCTGCGAAACAGCACTGAAATCCTTGATCTGGGCTCCCACCTGTGTACCACGATTTCAGTAGCCACCATGATTTGCCTGTTCAAAATGCCACTGTCAATTTGCCAATTAACCGTTTCATGGTTCTAACTTTTACGTCTGTGGACAAAATCCTATTCAAATGAAATCTCTTTGGGAGTACTTTCATGTGGTGTTATTTGTTGTAAAAATTTTACAAAATGAAATTTGGGATTTTTGTCGAATTTACCTTTGGTAATATTTGGCAGTGAAAGGGTTAAGATGAAAGGAAATTTGAAATGCTCTACCAGTAATTTGTTGAGTCCATCGGGGTTCCAGTCCAAAAAACAGGATACATGTATATCAGCACTGCTTCACAGACCTTACTTACACTGAGGCTAAATTGCATCTGCAACACAGACTATTACCATGTAGCATGGCGGGCTTTGTCTAGACTACGAGCAGTCTATCTTTTTTCTGTAGTCTGTCAACGCGAGACACGCAAATGGAAACCGGAAGAAAAAGAGAGACTGCTCACAGTCTAGGCTTTGTTGTGCTTAAGTACATGTAGGACGCTTTGGTTTCAAAAGAGTTACAGTGTCATGTGCCGAACTAAATTCATACAAAGGTTAATGTAATAGCTACATTAGTTAGTCTCTTAAAAACATATATTCAGCCCACAAGTCATTTTAACTAGCCCCAAAACCCTTTTTGATTAGCAGGATTGATTACAATCCTTCTGTAATTTGAATTTACCCAAAAAAACACCACTTACCCGTCGGGAAAGTTAAGAACAAAAATCACTAGCCCCATAGAAAAATCCACTAGCCCCGGGGTTATCGGACACGACTTAGTGATTTTGTTTGCTGGAATCAAATCAATCAAATCAACAACTTTATTTAAGTGTCTAGTCTTCTAGCTTGCCGTCAGGCCTACTAATCGGGGACACTAACTAAACTAAAATAGTTTGTCATACTGATGCATTAATCAATAAACTTATTCGCCACACTTTTAATTAAAATGATCCGTATTGTGTAAGAGATCTTGTGCTCGATAAGCGGTTCTCGATGCAATTGCACCATATTTCTCAACTACGCATAATGGCGAAAACGAAACATAAATTACTCGTCGTCGATGCTAAAAATACCGAATCAAGGACGTTCCAACTTTATTCGAAATACTGAAACCTCACAAATGCATTTAAATTTCGGACAATAGCAGAAAACCTGAACAATCGTGGACGACAGTGCGCTCGAGCAAAGAATTAAAAATCGAAACATTTGAGCAGATTTGAGTTAATACGTTGTAAGTGTACATTACAATTATACGTCTTTTCTAGTATTGGCGAACTTTTAGTAACATATACCTTTAATACTCTCTTGCCGATCCATTGTCCAGCTTCACTGAAACAGCTACTAACGGTCGGAGGCTTTTAGATTTCGGCAGAATTCTAGAATCTTAACGCGTACACTTGTCTACCGTCTACGGCATCATGACAGTTGGTTCTTTTGTTTTTGCCCTTACCGAATGAGGGGGATAGATAGAGGTGTGTTCAATTCTGTGACGTAAAGGGAAAGTCCCTCGCCCCTTTCATTGGATATAGAAACGTAAAAACTGGTAAAAAAAATCTAATGTAAACTTAAGCTTACCTACTACCCTTTTTAAGATTGTCTGATACCTAAGGTTCACGAACACGAATCATCAGTGCTCAGTACAACCCTTGATGATTGATCAGTTCAGAAATGATACTTTAGACCAACATAAGGCGTCATCCAAACCACTTAAAATATACAGCTGATGCATCTTCACAACGTCTCGCTGATAAATGTACTGTAATAATATCAAACATTCATTCAGTGCAACTTTCATCGATATATTATCGGCCATTTTGATGGTCGGGCACCATGGTCGGGCACCCAATCACAGTAAAGTACTATGGACAGGCGTTCTTCAGTCAGAACCAATAAGAGCGCAGTATAATCACTCTTTCACCCAATCAAAAACCTGGATAAAAACGAGTGTTATCTTTGAATTCACGACAAGCACAGTCAAAATGGCGTCGTCTGACAATGATTCTGTGCCTCATATTTCCGACATGGATTCGCCGGGTAGTTCTGTTTCTTCTGCTTTGCAAAGAGAGTATGAAGAGCTACTAAAGTATGCTGTTGTAACACCGAAAATCCAAGTGTGTCCCACCGTTTATGAGCAGAGTGTTACAACGAAAGATGATGTGACCGCTTCTACTGAAACGGACAGCAACAGCTCCTCGTCAACGTCAAGCAGCACCTCTGTCTCCACTCGAAGTTCAAAGTCAGAAGAAGTGTCTCACACGGCAGCTAAAGAAGATGTTAAACATCTGCCCAGTACTCCATCGCTTAGAGTTTCCTTTCAGGGGCAGGGCTCTATAGCAAGGGATTCTCTGTTACGAGACGGTAAATTAATGTTAACAGCGGAAATTAAGGACGCACACCCTTATAGAGGCCAACAGAAAAGATTCTTTCAAGTTCAAATTTATTTTTGAAATAAGTGCCATCTGGAAAAATGTTCGGTGAAAGAGGTTAACAGCTCATCCTCGGTGTAAAAACCTGTGAAACTCCCGAGTGATGTAAAACTATAAATACAAAGAAGCTACTGATAAGTCAACATAATGGAGCAAAGGAAAATAATACCTAGAAAACAAAGAAAACTTTCACAGGTTTTACACCGAGGTAAACCTGAGGTTTCATTTGAAGGGCAGCATCATGCACTGGGTGTCGTCCACAGATTACAGTGCGACTATTGTAACTTAAACTAGGGCCACTTTGACAAAGTTGACCAATCACATTACAGGGAAATGCAAGAAAGTTGTTCGTAAGCCAATCAACAGCTCGTAAGTAAACAATAAGTTACTCGAAGCACAGGTTTAAGTACATGTAAAAACAGCAAATGTTTTTCAAGAAAGCAAAATGTTTCACCAGACAATGTTTTTCTAATCGAAACTTTACAAATAACACCCCAGAGACATAATTGTTTGACACAAGCCGTTATTTTTTTTTCGTCTACCAGCAATTTCTTCGCTACCATTGCTGTGCTTGGCGATAACATATGACCTCAAGTCAAAAATATAACTATCATTTGCGTTCTTCGCATCTGTCTTTCATTCTATCAGACCACTCAGCAAACACAGGCTTTCTTTAGCTTGTTCATAAGGTCACATCTGTAGGTTGTGACTGGTTGAATTCAATCCGTGGTGTTTGTTTTGTTTCATGGTAATTATGATTGACTACTAACTTTCTTGGAATGTATTGTTACTTTCCTGTAATCCACTGGTCAACTTTGTCTACGTGGCCCCGGTTTATATTCACACTGTTATAAAAATGTGTCCAATAATCTCGTGATAAGGAGTGAATGGGTATGGTCTACATTAATTTATTATCTTGTGAATGGGAAAAAAATGTAAGCTTTTGTTTTGCCATTTTCCCTTTCTTTTGTCTTTCTTTTCCAAAATGAATTCAATTTTTAGAGGGCATATTATACAATGTAAATGGGTGTGCACTATACCAAGGTAAATACCTGCATATTGTCATATCAAATAGTTTACATGGACCATTCCATATTTACATATCCACAGTCCCCTAGCTTTGAATTAGATTTTCTGACGCAAGGAGTAGGTGTCAAAAGTCTTTTCTGAGGAGGTTGTGTATGCACCTTTAATACATACTGTATGGAATGTTTTTGAGGTGGGGTACTTTTTTTTCCTTAGGGGAAAAAGTCAACTTACCTCAACCATAGGACTGCTGGGTTGGGGTGGGGGGCTTTTGATGGATCCATACACAGTATAGCAAAGAGGAGTGGATGTGGATAACCCTGTTAAAAGAAAATGATTGAAATGTTTGTTTGTCTAACTTGTACAATGCTAGAATCAAGTTCTACAACAACTGCAGCTAAGACTCCAGACGTTGAAGAGAAGTCTTTATCATCCCTTTCACCTGAGGAATCCCCAGGCACTCCTCCTGCACCAGCTTCACCTGTAATAGATGCTGACCTAGCAAGAATGGAAGCTTTACTTGATAACTGGTGCTTGGATCTAAAGAGAAATGTTTTGGTTAGCTAAGCTTATTAGTACAGTGTATTTATTTGTTTATTTATTATTTTTATTTTTGCCAATGGAGGAGTTAAAATTATTTAAAAAAAAGGTTGCCAAATGAGAAAAAGTGCTGTAATTAAAATTAATAGTAAGAAAACCAGTCCCAAGATGGAACCTTAACACCCTCCTCAATCTAAGTTAATTAACCAAGAACAGTTTTTCTGAGAAGTGCACTATTATGCAAGCCGCTTAGTAACCCCAAATCTTCTATGACTCCCCCCTTGTTTTTGTGGAAGTAACCTTTTTTGGACTTTTTTTTTCCACAACCTATCAGAAGCCCTAAATATTGTAATCTGTTCAAAGTGTACACTGTATTTAATAGAACAATGTCAATATAGTGACAGTTAAACCCCCTTTAAGTGGCCATTCCCGGCGTTCGGGGAGTGGCTGCTTAATGGAGGGTGGCCACTCAATCAGGGTTCATCATGAACCGGGTGCCAAACTTAATATGTCAAGTGCTTGATGGCTGCTTAATAGAGGTGACACTTTAACATAGACAGTGAAAACTGGCCGTCCAGAAGGCATGTTTTCCCATAAAACTATAAGAGATTAAGTGTAGTTTCCTTGTATTTCTTCCGAAAATGGGCATCCATAGGGCAGCTGGACACCCTTCTGGCTAAAACAGGGTGCACTGAATGGGAAAACTCTCATTGGGAGAGAGGCAGCTCCTTTATAGACTGAGGTTTAGCTTCCATATCTTTTCTACAATCAGCCATTTGTACAATGGTGTCATTTTACTACTACGACCAGAATCCTTTGGGTTTTTCCTTTCTTGTGCAAATTATACACCTTTGTTATTTCAACCTTGCTGGGATTACCAAATTTAAATGTGAATGGAAAAACGAAGAAGATTCTGGTTGTAGTAGTAAATTGATGCCATTGTGCAAATGGCCTTTTATTTCAGGACTTTGATTTCTGGCCTCTTAAATAATGGAGGGTCAAATGTACATGAATATATATTTTTCCTCAAGGCTCTTGGGTTTGAGAGGAATAAAACAATAGAAAATAATGGATTGTTGTCCCTGAGCCTCAAAGTGATATCTTTTGTGTTCATCCCCTAGCCCTCTGACCCAAGTGTGAATTTTGATATCAAAATTGTTAGAACTTTTTGTGTGTGTGTATCACGTAAACCTGTAAATGTAAATTGCCATTATAGGCGGCCAATCTCCCTATCCAAAGAAGAAATGTCACTCTGGTTTTTCCTCTTTCTTGCTACCTGCACTGTGTTTTTCTACTAACAGTAAAAAAAGTTAAACAACCCCCAAACCAGTATCAACAAATCTGGAATTAGACTAGTGTCCATATACAGTGTACATTTATAAAGTAGTTTGAATTTATTATATTATGCGGTACATGTCCATCATTTATTCATAGGTATTGTTTCTTTACAACACAGGCTGAATTTGCTCAATGTAAGATGGGTCTTTTTGAAAAACAAAAGCAGCTTTTGATGCAGGAGAAGAGAAGGTACTGTACGTTGTTTTAAATCCCCAAAATGTACAATCATGTAGGTACTATTTTCAGAAACGTTCTAAATTTAATGTACATGTAATTATTGCAAAATGCAGGATTCAAGAATGCTTGCACACTGTTACAGTGTATATCAAAACCACATAATCATTTGGTAAGGATGATTGATTATAAATCAGTGACATAATCCACCATATGGATAGATCAATCTTAGATGTACATTATACATGTAGGATTTGCGGTAAGAAGTTTTCCTCCTGAGCACCTCAAGATGACATTAATTTTGCAAAAAAAAAAACAAGAAAAGAATAAGAAAGAAGGAAACAAAGAAGACAAAATAACAAAAAAGCAAATGATGTTAAGAAGAGAATAAGATTGTACTATTTAAAAAAAAAATTAAAAAAAGGACAAAACTCCAACAAATTTAAAATAATTTTTAATAAAAATAATAATTTGGCGAGAATTTATTGATCTAGAAAGCTCTTGGAAGAGGAATAAGAGACCTGAAAAACAAATCCCCTTCAGCACAATGCTTTGAATCTGTACGTGTATCATTTCCCAAGCAGTATAATGTGCTTTTCTTTACATTGTACTCTCAGGTAGTTCTCAACTTAAAATAAAGGTTGCATTCCATTGGGGTGATCCAAATTAGGATCAGTGATCTGAGGTTGACTTCTTATCATGACTGTAGTGCATCAAAGGATCTGACGAATCCACCCGGGGAAAAGATTTATCAGTTCATTTGATGTGTACCATGATCCGAGTGATCTTGGATCACTGATCTTGATTTGTATCCTTCCCTGGCTAGTTCCAATGTAATGCAACCACTTTGGCTAACAATACAGTGTAACAGACAATGTGTGCTACAGAGTGTACATGTAGGTGCCGATAAAATGTCCCTGGTAGATAGTCTAGAAATTAAATATTATTATATTTTGCTTCAATTAGAGTAAGATCTGTCAAAGATAAACACCTTTTCACTAAGCATAACTGCTACTTGAGAATGCTTATATGGATTCCACCTCATCATAAACTGATATAATTACATAATAATATTAAACCATGGCTGGCCCCTCTAAATTTTGTCATCTACTGTATATTATTGTAAAAGTAACATTTGTTTCAAAAATTATGAAAAGGGGGAAAACAATAGATTTTGTAATTTTTATACTGAAGTGAAGTGTCATATTAAGATACATGTACATGTAGCTAATTCAACACTTGAATTAATTGTTTTCATAAAATATATATCTGCGGTGTTGCAGAACCTTTTTTTTTTTGTTTAACTTTACAAAACATCAACAACAATAAACACAAATCAAAAAGTCAAGTGCCAATTACAAAGTTGGTGTCCATACAGGACAGCTGGACCATTCTAAGACAGTGATGCAAAGCATGCAATCATGTACAACATCATTCGCTGTTTCGGTTATATTGTGTTCAGTTTTGATAAAAACTCCCACTACAGTTGTTAATGCTGACTCTTATTAAAGGTTACATTCTATAGGCTGCCATTGTCCCTTTTGGTACATACAGTGTATGCCCAGCTTTTGATACAGTTAACGGGGTTGTCACTAAGATTTCAAGTTGCTGGGTAAATACAACAAGTAGGCAGAGAATCAAACAGCTAGGGGTTTCTTTTTTGTTCTATTCTTTTTGTTCTGGTTTTTATTTCTTTTTCTTCTATTTTCCGTTAAGAGCACTCGGGGGCCACGTTCATAGTAGCTGGGGAAAATCCCCAGCCCCTGCCTCTTAATGACAGCCCTGTCAGTAACAAACTGTCCCAATATCTTTGTAAAACCAAAGAAATCGTTTCATTCAGTCATCATAGTCTTCTACCCATTCCCTCAATTGCTCTTCAAAGTTCTCGTTAACACAGTAGAATGAACAATTAAAAGCTTGTTGACGGGCAGGCAACACATTGATCACATGGCGTCGGAAATGTAACTGCTGTACCCCAGGGTGTGGTATATAACTTCCTTGGTGTCCAGGGCACCTCTCTGAGGGGCATAATGGGCCACAGTGAAACTTGATGTAAGGAAAATGTTGCTTACAAATCCCATTGACCATGCTGAAAATGTGAGCCAGTACAGCTGATGGCTTCATCTCTTGTCCCTCACTGTGAAATGGAGTATCATTTCTTAGTCTGGCTATTTAATACCAAATATGGGCAATTTTTTTAACAGTTAGGGATACATAGCTCTACTGACAGTGTTTCAAGTACTTCCTCTAATTTTTTTTGAAATGTAAGAAAAAATAAAATAGGTAAACAGCCACGCCAAGAATCAGGTAGATGCAACTTTTCCTTTGCGAGATAACATGCTTTATCTTAATTTATGGGTTAGCCTGTGTAGCTGTTGCTTTTGTTTAGGCTGTAAAGCCGCGAGAAATATGAAGAGAGTCAATTTGAGATAAGTCTTATTTGAAAGTAGATCATCGCATTCATAGACGCAACTTTTGCAGTTGCGAAAAGAAAGCCTGCAAAATAATTGATCTACTTTCATATAATTCTTCACCCCGTAGTTCACATATATGATTTTCATATATTCATAACTTGAGGTAAGTCTGTTGCATGCGGTATTTTTCAAAACCCGAATTAAGGTTCTCTACTTCACCCCTTAAAGTTGATTTATATAAAACTAACTTCGCGCGCTACAAGGAAACTACATCGTGTAAAGAGAGAGAACACCAATCTTACGTTCAGTAAGCGAAAAATTCTTGAAAGATTTTCTAGCATGAGTATTTTTCTGCAAGGTAATAGTCAATAGTTTTCATCTCACAGGTCATGCCGCTCATTTGTTTTGTGACAAAGTTGGTGAAAAACCATAGCAAATGAGGAAGACGGTATTTTCTCTTTCCTCTTCGCCGCTTAGTGTAGCAGATCCTCAGTCCAAAAGCACCAACCCAATCTGATCCCTCCCCCAGTATTGACACGCTGTGTTGGTACCTCTCTGAGATCGGCACCGATATGGCGGCCGTAATCCAACAAAAACATCTTTTTTAAGTTAATTCATCACTCGAGGAACTCATAAACATTAACATTATACTTACTGTGGATTAAGGACTGTCAAGATAGTATTATTTCAAGTTAAAGCCGTATGTAAGCTTTTTTGGCTGCCATTTAACTTCCGCCTCACGCAAAATCTCGCAAACTCAAGCGCGCTTTGTTACGAAACTAACGTTTATACCCCTTCGAATAGAAGACTGCTAGGATGCTCTAATACCTCATGTTTAAATGCTGTAATACCTCCGTAAAGGATAAAGACTCCGAAGAATTTTTAATTCTTTAGTTTGAATTTTGTTTGCGTCACGTGCAAAACAGCAAATGTTTTGGTTCTTCGACTACAAACGCTTTTTTGAAGGAATTTTCATCCATCGGTGTGGAAACTATTTCACAGAATGCGTCCTATTTAGGCGCAGACTAATGAGCAAGTGATGCAACCCACTGTAGTCTCTCTTATGGTAAAAACCTCGCTGCTTTACCCGCAGTATACAAATCTACGAGCCCGTTGTCAAAGAAAACATGAAAATTATGAAACTAACCTCTTGTAAGTGAATGTGACTTCAATCATGTCTTCATCCTTAAGCTGTAACAGCCTGTATGGTTGGTTGGACCGCAACCAAAACCTGCCAACATCCTGGTATATAACTGGCTGACCATGAACAAATTCTGCTTTGCTGTTCCTGTGTGCACGTGACAGAAGATGCTGGAAGAGTGCCTGTGGTAGAAATCGATTGAAGAACACGTAAACCGTCTTGTCATAAGGACCATCAAACCAGACTGGTGTTGTCGCCATTGACGACACTGGCAGAAGTGAAGGAACAAAGTGTGTGACTTGTGCTTCTTCCTCCTGGTTTGTCGCATTGAAGAACAGAGGACAAATTAAATCATATTCCTCCAAAAAACCTTTCATTGCTTCTTCATTCTCTTGGAATCTGGAGAGAATGTGTTTTAGAAGGGATTCTGTGAGCATTCCAGTATCATGGAGTAGTTTCCAATCGCGCCTGAAACCACGCTGAAAATACACCTCTTCATCTGTTAGTGGCAACACCAGTTGAATGATGATGTCTACCAGTATAGCTGGCCTTAGCAAAATCCAACTGGACAGTTCAGAATCTTCCCTCTCATGATTGTATATCACCAGTCCTTTCTCGTGAAAGTACTTCAAAGTTTCCCTACTCCAGTTGGTACAAATGAAGTTCCCAACTGAAACTGGAAACTGTCTCAGTGGCACACAAAACCTTGCATTCCTGTTCTCACTTAGATTGATTATTGCATCTTGAATTTTTATCCACGAATATGGAATTTCCCTTCCCATAATTGGTCTGAGGTCCTCTGCTGTGGACATTATTTCTTTCTGAAGGTTTTGAATTCCTCGGTCTTTTCTTCCCAGAGTGTTCTCAGTGGGGAAGTACGAAAGCTTGTCTTCCTTATTCATCACCAACTCATCACTGAAAGAGTGCATTAGTTGTTGTTGCAGATGTTTGTCAATATTTTTTAGGTGGATTATGTCCATATGTCCTCTGTGTGTTCCAACAAGGAAGATTGGTGTTTTGGGTTTTGCTTTGCTACAGATTGATTCCAACCAGAAACGAAGTCTTTGGATTTTTGTTTTAATGTTTCTGAAATTGTTGTCTGCAAAGTTTGCCATGTTAAAGACAACAATATAGATGGCTTGATCTCTCATGAAGATATGATGATAAGCGTAATATTCTTCATCTCCTGCAAAGTCCAGGAGTTTCAGCTTAACACTGCAAAATTTATTTTGAAGGGCTAACTTTAGCTTTCGAAAATTCAATATACACTTCTCTATAAGTATAAGAGTAAAACTAGCTCTTGTTTCCCTAATGTTCCCCATACTGGTGAAGAGGGAGAACATGTCATCCCAATCTTTATACAAAGTTTGGCAGGCCCATACAGCAAACATTGCCACATACATAGAAAATGGACAAAATGAAAATAAGCTCAAGTCTGCTTTCTCCATTGATATGTAAAGAAATAAGACAAGGGCGACTTGACCTTGCCGATTAACCCACGACAGTAATGTTTCTGAAAACGCGTAAATTGAATAACAAAAAAGTGAAATCGCTGTAAAGTGAATAATTTTACAATATGTGCACTCAGAAGGTTCAGTTGAAAAGCCAATAATGCAACCAAAAGTAAAACCGCTTATGATAGGTACAATAAAGAGTACAATTCGCGGGAAAATAGGTAACGAATCTTCAAATATCACTTGTCCAGGGACTGTTGAATCGACCCCGGATAAATTGACGAAATTATAATAATACCTAATCTTCTTCATTAGCGACACTCTGAGAAAGATATAACCAAACATTGCTGCGAAGATAAATAAGTGGGCCACCCAGACATACTGGGTGCCACAAGAAGCGTATTGTCGATCTCCTGATAACGAGAATTTGAGATTGCTACATTCTATGCTTTTAAGAAGCCCTGGCAGCAGATATGCGGTCCCTAACCCTACTATGAAACGACGAATAGTGAAAATCATGCAAAACAAAGTGATAACTTCTGGGTCTTCTAAGCGAATAAAGTGAAGTAAAATTGCTATTACAAATGTACTCAAAGAAAATCCACAAAAGGTAACAGACATCTCAGCTAAAGAGAGTAGCCACATAAATAAGATAACCCAGCTAATTATTCCAAGTGTAAACAAAAACCTGCCAGCTGAAAAAATGAAAGTCAAGTCTTCAGTTATAACAAATTCAGCTCCGCCTGGCCAATAAATGGCAAACTCGAGAAGAGCAGATTCTGTAAACCGAGAAAAGCTTCCAAAGCTGAGACCAGTCGTGGGATCCGAAGTTTTCCATTTCCGATCGACTAAGCTAACTTCTACACCTTTTGTCCTCGGTTCCTCAGCATCAAACCCTTGTCCTATTAGTGACTTCTTTAAGCTTGTTTTACCCACTCTAGCATCTCCCAGTATCATGCACTGTCCTTGGAAAACAAACTGGGTGTGTTGTTCACCGCCATCTTGGTTACTGCGGAAGTTAAGGTCCTCTAACAACTGTAAATACGATTCTCTTCCATCTGGTAGCCGCTGATCCATCTTCAGCATTTGCATTACTTCAGAGGCAGTTTCCAAAGTATGGTCGTCTGTAAGACGTATTCTTTGCAAATCTAAAGCCATTCTGATAGTTCAACATAAGAGATAACTCTGTAGGTAGTGCAGTGTTGTGAAGCAAGTCATGTGACATTATGTAAATTTCAGAAAGTTATGTCACGCTCCTTATTTTAATACAGTGACCGTCATGAATCAAACGTAGCGATTTAATTCACTTATTTGACCTTAGAAACGTAACAGCAATGAGGTTAAAAACGTTTGTTGCTACCTGATTTCGAAAGTCTCTTCCCTTATTTTCGCTGCGTAACACTTGCAGTGAGCAGTGCAGGCGTTTTCCGGGGGGTACACGAGCACTAGAGCACTATTAAATTCTCTCGGGTTTGGTGCCCAAAACAAACGCAGAAGGGGGCATGCCAAAAATAAGGTAGGTCTAATTTCCACTGTTTGGTCCAGTGCTTAGATCAGTGGCAAAAGTTCGTTACCGTAAATCCTCTATTATGCCCCCCCTTTTCAGAGGAAAAAAAGTTAATAAGCCCCCCCTCCCCCTCCCCACCCCTAATTATTCTTCACAAATAAATGATAGACTGTATTAATCACTCGCGAATGTAAATTTTTGTATGGATAATGTGGACTGATCTGGGAGGGTTTATTTACCAACTGGAAGTTCGGATTTGATTCTGGTGCTCGGCTGTATGACCTAAAACTTCTTGTACTTCAGCTTTTCCACTTTGTATTCTAGTTCTTTATGGGAAACTGATACCATCGTCATTTCTGAATTAAATAAGGCCCCCGTCTCTATTAAGCTCCCCCCCCCCTTAAATGGGCTTGAAATAAATAAGCCCCGGGGGGGGGCTTAATAGAGGATTTACGGTATGTCCAGTACGCCTTTTGTCATTTTCAGCCCGATGTTTAGATATTGGCTCGTTTGGATCTGTTAGGTAGCTTGTTTTGTTACTATTTTCCTAGCCTCGGAGTCGGGTCTTAATCAGAAGCGTAGAGCTTTACGATCGAGTGAAAACATAACTACAAGGTCAGTGCTGTAGTTGGAGGTAGAAGCGGAAGAACTGAGCAAATTCCAAAGTATCGGAACGAGCTTTTCATTGGTTTGTCCTTCCGCTACCGCTTCCGAATACGATAATCCGGTTTCCAAAAGATCGTAAGAGTCAAACGTGGAATCAAACGATATTGGGAACGCTCTATTCCTCCGACTCCGACTCCCGTCGCGCTTATGACTCGCTTACGATCCCGATTTTTGATTTTTACTAGGTCACAAGGGCTCCTAGAGAAAACTATCCTTAAGTTCTTTCTCTTGATCTTTTGTACAGGCACGGTGTTGAAATGAATAAACTGATGAATGAAATGGAAAGTCAGAAAGAGTTATTACTCACCTATGAACAGACCCTGTCTCATAAAGACTCAATTGTGGCAAATGTCACTAATGCTATTCAAAAACAGGTTTGTTGTATGGTTCAGCGTCAGTTGTAGTGATAATAACCGCCTTTTAAACTGATGAATAAAATGGAAAAGAGTTTGTACTCACTTAAGAGCAGACCGTGTCTCGCAAAGACTCAATTGTGGTTCATTGTCAGTTGTAGTGATAATTGCAGAATTGCTACAGAAATTAGAGAGATAAATCTCATACCCAGGCCAGCCACCAATTTGCATCTCGTGGAATAGAAAACGTTCCTAGTGTGTTTAATACCCCTCTTTCTTTAAAGGTCTCAAACAAGTGGCCGCCTACTCTAGAAATGCTCCTAAGCCATAAAAATGTCTTTGTTTTTTGCTTGCGTTACCCTCGTATATACAAAAGCCAAATATTTGTTTTGTCTTTACACTCAATATTGACCTGCATGTTCTCTCACAGAAAGAAAGAAGTGAGCTGCTAAGGGCTTTTACAGTGTGGAAACTACGGCATTGTGATGAAAAGAGAGAGGTTAGTCGCTTAACTTCTCATTTCCATTACGAACTAGATCTTTTTGAACTATGTATGTGTTAGTTGTTTTTGAGTTTTTTGTTGTTGTTAAAAGTGGACAATCAAGTTATAAGTTTTCGTAAACTGGCACACTTTTCTTACAGACATTCTGGTATTCATGATTTTAAAACTGAATCAATTGAAATGACCTATTTTGTTGTGTTTGCCTCTTCAGGGTTTTGCTTCCAAGCTTGCCAGGAGACACTACAACCACACCCTTCAGTCACGTGCCTGGACTGCTTGGCGTTCTGTTATTGAATCCAAATGGAAACAAAGAGTAGAGAAAGCTTGTCAGGTGAGCTCTTGCATGACTTTATCATAACTGTCTTCAGACAAAACAGTTTAAACTAAATTCGACACTAAATAGCAGTGTTTATTTAACACCTTGTCGAATTTTGGCGGTCGGTTCCCAAATGAAAGCTTTGCATCGTGCACGCTTCAATATTTGAAGTTTTTATTCATCTTTTCAAAGGCCAAAGCTCAAGACGTGTGCGTGAAGTTAACGGAGGATTATGAAAGTCGACTTCAAACGGTACGTGTTCGATGTGCAGTAGAATAAAGAGTAATTTTTGCAGACTTCTGTTACTAAAGGAAATGCTTAGTCAATCATCTCTTTAGGGTTTTTCGACTATACTTTTTCTTCACCATCTGTGATGTTACTTTCATGTTTAACAGGGTAAATAATGTTGAAATACGTTTGTAGAGTATAGTCTATGAGAGACTTTTTACACTTCCTTCAAAAATGGGGGAAAGATTGTAATGAGCGGATGTTCATGTTTTAGGCTAACCGTGAGCTCGAGATGGCGCGAACGGAGATTGCTCGCCTTCATGCCGAGAGGGAGCGTTATGAAGAAACCATGAAGAAAGCATTCATGCGTGGAGTGTGTGCTCTCAATCTTGAGGCCATGAGCATGTTTAGAGAAGGAGAAGAGGGTGGAAGAAGACCCCCACCACCCGCTAGCAGCAGTGACGGAACTTTCTCAGGTACAGTATTGTATTCTTAGTTGTGGCTGGATACAAAGCGGATATATTACAACGTTGAGGGCTAAAGGTGAAAGGTTTGTTTATAGTGGAGAGGGTACTTAGCCTATCCAGCTAGTTTACAGGTACTCCATTCAAATAATAAGAGCCGAACAAATCATCCAAACGGAACATAACTAAATTAAAAACCCCAACTGTTAGGAGGCAACCACTTGGCTATTTTCGTTGTTTGACTCTAAAATATCACTAAAATAACAGTTCCAGTTCCAGTTCCATCCTTTCACGGGTTTATAACGAACCAATTCAACGACCTGCTCCCAGTTTGCTTGTTAGCTCAAGTGGTGTAAGAGCGCTGCACCGGTATCGCAGAGGTCAAGGGTTTGAATCCCGTACAAGCCTGAATTTTTTTCAGGCTTTCTTCTCGCAACTGCAAAAGGCGTCTACAACTGCGATGATCTACTTTCTTATAGAGTGGTTTTCGTTTGAGTGTCGTAAAACCAAAACCAAAGTAATTACTCTGGCCAATCACATAGGACACAGACAATACATTGAACCAATCAAAACTCGAAGTAATTACATGTGGCTGACGCAAAGCGCGGGAAAATGCATGCGAGCGCGTCACAATTGGCTTTGGTTTTACTTCTGATTGGATGAAAAGGTGGCGCGAATCTTTTAAGCCAATGGCATCGTGTAGAAAGTGCAAAACCAATTACTTTTCGACACTCAAATGAAAACCGCTCTAATTACTCCAGACAGCACTTCTAGAAAACAGGGTCAAATACATTATATGTAAACAGTTCAATAATTTTTTGGCCAGTGATGTAAATTACCTTTACGAAAAGAGTTGGCGTCTTTGTTTTTGGCCGCATTTCTTATCGCCTTACGTATTACATAAACGGTACTGCTGTTTTTGTTAGATACAGAAGACATGCCGCGTCGTCAACCGCCACTTCCTATTGTCACGACATCTGGGCAATCAGTCACGCAACAACAGTTTGGTTACGTGCCTTCCAGACAGAGGCCTCCAGCAGAGAGACCAGGTCAATTAGGAGGAAAGACTGTCACAGTCAAAGCTGTTTGTCGATCAGACATTCAAGGACAAAAGGCCACTGCAGGTGTGTAGACAGTTCGTGTTTGTTTGTTTGTTGTTGTTTTTTTTTTTGTAGTTTTGTTTTTCAACTATTTGTGGTTTGCGTTTTATGTATTCACTTCTTACAGCACACGCTGATTCTGCACAACTTACTTAAGATACCTTCTATTGGAAAATCTGCATTCGTATTTTGAAATTGTGAATTTTCTCGGATTAAACAAGTCAAACTGATTTTTGTATCATTTTTGGATCTGTTTAGGCTTTAAACGTAGAATCAAACCGCGTATTTGCCACGCTGTTCACGATATTCTTCTTATGACTTACAGACAAAATTGAACCCTTACCTCTCTCGCCAATCAAGTTTGTATCTGTTTAGGAGCAGTCGGCCCGGCTTTTCCCTTTCTTTTGTCTTATCAACAAGGTTATTTACATAAAAAGGTTAATGTTTTATGCAATAATTAACTACCAATTTAAGACAAGTAAAATAAAAAAATATAGAGAAGTTGGTGAAGCAAATAGTTCAAGCCTTAAAGCCTTCTTAGAATAGACTGAAATGTGCATTTTTGTACAATCTGTAAAATGTATTCCTATTAGGTAGTCCATTGAAAATCTAATGTGGTCCTTAAAAAGTTGTTAAAAAATGGTTGCAGTATTTTGTGTGAACCCTGTGTAAGGTTTACGATTCATTCTTCTGCAATTACAGGTCTTGTAGGCACTCAAGGGCCTGTCAGTTCAGTTCTAATTGAGAAGCACTCATCAGAGCAGGCCGCCTCAGGAGCTCCCCCAATACGTCACCCTCATGGTCAGCGGGCACCACAAGCTCGCTCAACAGGTGCAAGAACGTCACGTGGCCCCGCGGTTCAAACAATCCACACCACCCCTGTTAAAGTCGTGCACTGATTACTGCCAATCACTCAACATGCCTAAATTTCTATAAGTAAATACATTGTAAATTTAAACGAGCTTTTTTCATTTTGTATATGGTAGGGTAGAGATCAATACAGTCCAATAAAAACTTTTTTTTTTCATACTTCAACAGTTACGTTTACTTTTGTATGGGTCGGGTAGTTTGCGTGTGCACAGAGCCGAAAGGGCACCACGCATGCCCATAGCCTGCACATGTTTTCTCAAGCTCTCGTTTTTAAGTACAGTAGAACCCCGGTAACTCGAAGCATGAAGGGAAACGAAAAACAGTTTGATCAAGTTAGGGTTCGAGTTAACGGGGTCAATTGCAAAATTCAATTTACCGTGTTAAAAATTGATAGACACTGATTTTTCAGCAGTTTTTAAGTGTATAGTGCTTTGCAAACATAACATGATCAGGTAACATGATTAGTGTTTTTACCCTTATAGAACAAGAAGAGGTAATTGGATGGCATCCGAGTGGAGTTACAAGAACCAGAATTCGAGTTATCGGGGTTAAAGTCTGGGCTAAAAATTGTACGAACCCTGGCCCAAGCCCGTAAGCCTTTTTTAAAATCAAATTCCGAAGTTAGCAACAGCCAATTCATCTGGCTTGGTTAACACAAAGTTTAAATGTTAAGACTTCGATCTTAATGGGCTAGGACTGACCGGAAAAGGCAACCCCTCGACATTTTTTTTTTCTTGTCTCTGATTGCTTTTGCATTCAATCCGATCGTTTTAGACGTTTCGTGCGCCCGTGAATGCTCAGACGTGACGTTTTGACGCCTCACCAAAGGTTTTTTGTTCATATGAGCACTTTCAGTGTTTGTTCTTTTCCTTGCCTTCAAATTATAAATTAGCGAAATAAGAGGAGGACGAAGCAGGCTAGACTAATGTCTGGAACATTGCCTTCCCATCAACATGCCTGCGGTCAATCAAGCTAACTGGACGGCGGTTTCTCAACCTCACAGTGATTATTATCCCGTTTTGATGTTAATTTGTTATTTTCGTATTTTTTTTTTGTTTGAACATGCAGAATTTTGTTTCATTGAACCTAGCAAAATCAAGGGTTTCTAATTCGGGAAGGAAAGGAAACGCGCGTTAGCCACGGAACAAACGATTGGGATCTGGCACGCGATTGCCCTAGTCTGATTCAGATTCGGAATGCGGAGCAACCTTAAGGTGAATCAAAGGAAAAACTGAGAAGGAAGCATTTGGCTCGAAGCCAGCGATTTTTGGAATAAAGAGATGAAAGAAATGAAACAAGCCTTGAAACCTCAGACGTGTTAGTGTAGATGTACGTGAAAAACGTCAACAGTACAATTTGAGCTAATAACAGAAACGCCCAAAACATTTTTCTTTTGGGGACAGTTAGTTTATAACCCGTTTTTAAAAATGTCTTAATTGCATTTTCGCTATGTGACCAGATTCGTCGTTTTAACAGAACCGATTAATGCCTGGCCACGCTTGATTGCAAAACTTAGTTCTTATGTCCAACCGTCCGAATTTCTACAATATTTAATAACGGGCTTTTTGTTGGGTTGACTCTAGAAGTATTTCGTCGCAATCGAGTAGAATGTTGTTTTTGTCGATATAATTTTGTTTTTAACAAGAAAATCAGTTAATTGTGTGGGTATCGGAGGTGCGATAAACTGCTAAATGTCTAATCAATAACGTCATTTTCTCGCGCCGTAATCATTACCTCATCCATATCAACCAATAACAACGCTTCACCTGCCAAAACAAGGGCTGGTACCATGAATATCGGATTTCGTGTTTATTTTACCTACCTTTGAACCAATCAGAGCGTAGAGTGTGATATTTCTGGTATTAGCAAAGATCGGAAATTTTCATGTCCGAAACTTGGATGTAGAACTGGGGAAAATTGGGAAAAAATTTTTCCCAATTAATACTATGAGGATACCGGTAGTAATTCTCATCTTTGGGTTTTGTGCAGTAGGATATTCACGGCCGTCTAAAAGTAAGTTGAAAGTATTCCTAAGCTAATGATAGATTCTCTCAACTCATAAGTCATACCTTGCAGATTAATGTACTAATTTATAGACAAGGCCCGTTAGTTGTGACTTTACTGTTTTATCACCGATCAGGTAGGAAATTCTTTTAATGGTGCTAAGTGGTAATGTTTTTACATACGGCATTTCTGAAGCACTGCGTTTCAGTTGGACATGAGTTTAAAGTTGTCAAGTGGAACACGATATGCTTCCATAACTCTGTGTTTGAAATATTGTTCTGCCCCAGAATACTTTGCCACCAGTCAGCTAGTTCCGGCACTTAAATGCAAACTCAATTATTTTTCCAAGTTAAAAGTTATTGGAAATAAAACACTTCCTTTGGATTCTTTCGGATTTTTTAGTAGAGTTTTCAACTAGAAATTGACAAACCTGATGAAAATTGACCAGACTGGAGCTGATTTGATCGGCGAGCTGACAGTTGCTGATGATTATGGTTGTTTTTCTGATCATATGACATTATAGTGCAGTTTGCTCTTTATGCCCTAAAAATAAATGAAAATTAAACTAAACTTAGATTAGAATTGAATCTTAAAGGCTTCAAGAAAACTTCTTTTAACCTGACAACCAACCCAAAAATAAATGCATACTTTATCTCCTGTCGCGACCAATTTTAAAAACTCAGTGTTCGTCCAAATCAGAAACTCTTTAAGCGCACTGGAGCGCATAATCAACTTGTGACCGGCTTCTCACGGTTTTTAGTTTTCCTGTGATAATATGTTTCTCGCGTGAACAATATTAATGATTTCTCGTGTGATCTCAGTTTGGTTAAAGAATGTTGAATTGTCCGTGATTCGGCTCGAAAATTGACCACACCCACAGGGTAAGAATCTCAATTTTTATTCGCCATAAAATTAAACACGCTTGAATAATTGAACCTACGTTATTCAGCTTTCGTCAGAACGAGTTATCTGGCACTTATATTTACAATCATTCTATTTTGGATGTTCGGCAAAGAGTTATTTAATTTTTGGCTGCTTTACAAGTGAATTATTTGTGCAAATGGTGTAGTTGTAACCTGAAGCTGATTCGGTTATTTAAGGGTGCGGCCTTGAACTGGTTCAAATACGATATCTTTTGACTTCTTAATTTGGTCGATCTGGGTGCTCATTGGAATTCACGGTAACTACTCAATGTGTCCAAATTTTGACTTCGTGCTCAATTCTTCGATGGGACTAGTCATTACAACTAAAGCTGCTATGAGCAACGCTACAGTGTTAAAATTCACTATGATGACTTAATATTGTAAACCCATTTCAAAGAACAGCTTTGAGAATTAAGATAGTATAACACATGTACTCTCGTCATGATCTAATTTACTAGTAAAATGTTAATCCCCAGATGATGCGTTAATAATTCGTCATTTTTACATAGCCGTAAATGACTGGTGTTGCAGACTATGAGCAGTCTCTCTTTTGCACGAAAATCTGTGACCAAGTGCGATATGCGAGTATGCAAGTGGCGTAGCCGGGAGGAGCAAGCTGTGCCACAAGTTGCTGCTCGGGGCTTCTCTGCTGGCATACTCACATATCGCACTTGTCTCACTCTCTCTCAGATTTTCGAGCAAAAGAGAGAGCACTCGCAGTCTACTGGTATTGAGGCAGGGTCGTAACTGGGGCGTCTATAACCGTCCATCCTTTATTTGTTGGATCACTGTTGTGCCTGCACACAAGCCGTCAAGGATAGTTGTCACACAGGCAACTAGCTATGGGCGACATCTCTGCACTTAATGAGGCTTTGTCTACTTAAGAGCATTTTCTGTCGCTGTAACTAGTGTTTAATCATAACTTTAACAAGTTTTCCAATCTGATTGGGTATCATCAGCGCTGATTTCAGCATTAAAAAGAATAAAAGCCCTCGAAGGCTCTTGTGTTTAAATTTTCAAAATGCTTAAATTAAGAATAACTGGTAAAAGAACTTCGTGCATGTCTTCCAATCCAGTCTGTTTAATGCTTGCTTGTATGATTACAGACCGCATCGGACTCCACTCAGTTCCATGATCATACTATTAATAGAACAACACAAGGCCACAGAGTTAATGGATAAGTTAGTCAAGCAAAGAACTCATGGTGTGTTGCAAAACAAGATGCCAGGCTGTTTAAAAGTGTATAATCAGCGATATGATACACCTTTTGTGCGCTGTTTGCCTTTCCTCATCGCGTGTGCATGTCTAGCGCTCCACGCCTTTTTGGCGCTTGCCTTGTCTCGCCTAAAAAAAAACCACTAAAAATAACGCCTGTGGCTAATGCTTCTGAACAGGCTATGGACAGTTGAGAATTTCTTCTCTTGTTGCTCATTTGATAGGAGGTCATAAAACTGTGGAGGTAGTAGATGACTCGGATAAAGAACTCATCCGCGTGGCTCGAGGAGATGTAGATGAAGATGACGAACCTCAAGAAAAGTCCCATAAAGAAACAAAACGATCAACCGAGGGTAATTTTTGATAGTCTGTATAGAGTAGTCAAATTGACTTTGTGAAAGTTTATTATAGTTTTGCATATTTATAAGGGATGAGAGTCACGTTTATGGAAAACGGCAAACATCAGATTCAAGTTGAGAATTCCTCAAAATAGAAAATGAGCAGATGAAAACAGTCTAAAACAATTCTTATGAAAACAGCGTGAAACTATACTTATTTTTAGGTAGAAGTAAACATCGGTAAAAGGCAGGTAAAACTGAGGAAAACTTGGTCACGTGCAGTCGGTAAAAATTCATGCTTGCCGTTTGCCGTAAAAGTGACTCCTATTAGAGACCTTTAGCATCAGGTAAACCGCAAACCGCAGACCGCAAACCGCAGTTACGCGTTTGCAGTTTCGCGTTGCCGAGATTTCAAACTTTAGCAAGGCGTTCAGTTCAGTTCAGTTCAGTTCATTTTTATTCAGCCAAAATACAATACAATACAAGAATACATATAGGAATTGTAAGGTTGCAAGGGAGCCTAGAAGAAACCAGAAGGCTTATGAAGCCTGGGCTCCCCAGTCTAAAAGAGAT